TATATAATATTGTCTTCCACTATAAAACTTGACGTGGAATTAAAGCTGCTTTTGGACTAAAGCCACACCATTAGAAAAAACATAAATAAACTTTTTTTTTTTTTTTTGTAAATCTACCAAACAACTTGTATTTAAGACAACTAGTCAGGCTTGAACGTGCAATTAGAATTACAACTAAATATATAAATGAATATTAATGGCAAATACGATACATGAATTAAGGCGAATGTTAATTAATTTAGAATTAATGTCAATGAATAGATACGTGACAATTAATGTTAAATCATTTATATTAAATGAATATAATTAAATTCAAGTTAAATGAAACTGAATGATAATTAGCATACACAGACGTGAATAATGAATTGTATTTTTTAATGTGAAATTCTAATTACTATTAATTAAATGAATGTGAATATGAATGTTCATTAATTGAGAATTAATAACAGAAATATTAATATTAATTAAATAAATGTAAATATTAATTAATTGAGAATTAATTATAATATTTATTACAATCTGTATATTAAATATATATAGAAAAACGAAAAGTAAGATATTATTAAAATAATTGAATTACAGTAGAGTTATAATCGTCCAAAAAGTTATTCTCAATAGATATGATATTTAATATATTATAGATAAACAAAAGCGTATTTCCAATAGTTTACTTGGCAGTGTGTTTATAAACTACCACAGCCTTACTACCTCATTTGCGATTTGAGACCGACCATAGAAGTGTGAAAGAGTGAACCCGTTTTTAAGGCTTGAAACCAAAATTGGAAATATAGTTCATGCAAATCACAGATAATAAAAACTCGAGTATGTTTGTAGACAAGATGAACTTTAGTAGGACAACCTTATACGAAAACATGATAAGATCATTAACTTATATCACGATGGAAGCCTCAATCTCTCAAGTTACGACACCTCAAAGTTAAAGATAGTAAGAAAGAAGGGAAAATCAGGTATGTAGTTTGAAAATTCAAAAATCAGATTTTTTTTATTTATGAAATAATAAATTATTAAATCAATTTATTATTAAATATTTAATTCTAATATAATATTAACCCATCTCACATGCACCAATCATACCGCTCCAGGGGCTATTCCGGCGATCATTCCGATCACCACTCTTCTCCGACGACCGTTCCGGCGACTGCTCCTATTCCGACGACTATTCCGATGACCATTTTGATCACAGATTTACAATTTATGGTCACGGTTCAAAAAATTTATAGGTCACATTAATTCGTTGGTCACATATTTCAAAATTAGTTGGTCACAGATTAAAGTTTATAGGTCACACAGTTACAGATTTCCAAATTAATTGGTTACAGATTTTTAAATTGGTTGGTCACAGATATTTTTGAGTAACATATTACTAAATTTTTAGGTCACAGTTGAATAACTAGTCACAGATTATCAAATATTTGATCACATACCATCAAATAGTAGGTCACATATAACCAAGTAATTGGTCACATACACCAAATAGTGATCACACACCACCGTCAGCAACACTACCACCCCCATCTTCGTCGCAGCCAGATCCACCACCATCCCTGTCACTGTCGCCACCACCACCGAAACCAACACCACATTACCACCACCAAATCGTCGCTACCAGATCTAGTCAAATGTCAACAAAAACCACAACCACCACCTCTATCGAATGTCTAGCCGCCACCGCCACCGCCACCACCACCACCACTACTACCATTAACAAATCACGTCACACCACAACCACCACCCAACAAAAAATCCCAAAAATCGTCACCGCCACCACACTCTACCCGTCGCGACGCCACAGCACACACACACACCCATAGCACACACACCCATATATCTACCACCCCATCAAAGATCCATTGCAGATCGTCGTTGCAGTTGCAGATCGCATATAGAGGCAACGGTACAGATTGCCGCAAGCGCAGCTGCTACATCTCAGCTCGAAGAGGCTCCGAGCTGTTTTCGTTGTGGCAACGGCGCGGCGTTCTCGACATCACGCCATTCACAGAGAGGGCGAGGAGGGGGAGAGGAGGGGAGGGAGCAGTGTGATAAATTAGGGTTTCAATTAGGTTTTATAACACCTAATTTTTTATTAAAAAAATTGTAGACCTGATTTTTAAAAACTAATTTTTAAACACTTGATTTTTTGCAATTTCCCAAGAAAGAAACAAAGTGCATGCACATATCTACATTGATGCCAAGGTTTTGTGAGTTTTGAGTTGTCTGAGTTCAATTTGTCGTCATTTGAATGGACGGTCCTATCACGTGTGCAAACATGACCTTCTTACCGAAACTTTTTCTTATTAGACAGGACTAGACAACAACATGCCACACACCAACAGACCTTACTAAGAGAAAATAAATTTTCAATGGGACTCGTGTCAGTATGTACTACATGTCACTCGAGAAAAATACTAACAATAATGCTAAGTGTACACAATCTTTTACACAATTTTTTACAACCACCTCACATGGAGGGGGGCCCACACATAATAAAATAATCGTGGATCCCCCTCCATATGAGAGAGGTGTAAAAGATTATGTAAAAGTGTGTGTGTACATGTAGCATTACCCAACTACTAATAGAGCATAAAAAAGAAATATTTAATGGGACTCATGTCAAGATAATTAAAGACAAAACAATTATAATAACTCAATTAAGTGTTCATTTCATTGGAAACAATATCTGCACATGAAAAACATGACCTAAATCAGAGCAGCTACACATAAGTTTTACATAAGAAGGGATTGAGTCATTACAGCAATGCAAATATCCATAGATTTCTGTAGTAAAAAATATTCATAGTTTTAAACCAAGAATTCCATGCAGCATCCTCAAGTCAGTGACCTATTGCTCCACTCCATATTCAAGTGTTAGCTCGAATTGCTTCAACTGCAAGAAATGAGGTAGAAGCAATGGTTAACGTCTTCATCTTTAATGTGTTGATATAGTCAGTTTGCACGAGAAAAAGAAGATAAAACGAGCATGGACAAATCCTATAGAAATATCTTTGGCATAACTTAGTGCATGTTTGGCAAAGCTTAAGTATAATTTAAGCCGGTCAGACATTTTTCATCCATACATTTTGAAATAACCACAACTTACTAACCACTTATTATCTA